GCCTGTGGAGATTGATCTCGGACCCCGGAAGCTTGGGCCCCTTCCGCCCCTAAACCCTAAAACCCCAAGCCCCTAAACCCTAAACCCCTTTCCTCCTAAACCCCTAAAACCCCTAAAACCCCTAAAACCCCTAAAACCCCTAAAACCCCTAAAACCCCTAAAACCCCTAAAACCCCTAAAACCCCTAAAACCCCTTTAAGACCCCTAAAACCCCTACAAGAAGCTGGAAGTAAGCCCGGGCCACTGGGCCAAGGCTGCACGTCGCGGATGCTCCGGACCAGCGCGTAGAAGGCGGCCAAGGCGAAGAAGCCCATAATCCTGGCTTCAAGGGCTTTCTGCTTCAAAGGGGCTCTTCGTTCCTGTTTCCCTAAACCCTAAACCCTAAACCCTAAACCCTAAACCCTAAACCCTATGGGAGCTTAGGGCTCAAGACCTCTCAAGAACTCCTGGAATTTCAGAAACCCACTTCTTCGGGCAGGCTGCGCGAAGCCGAAGGAGACCGGCCCCAGCCTATCCCGGTACCTGCGAAGAGGTTGGGAGGTCATTAGGGTTTAGGGTTTAGGGTTTAGGGCTTAGCGGTTCAGGGTGCAGGGTGCAGGGTGTAGGGTGTAGGGTGGTGTTTAGGGCGTTTTGGGTTCGATGCCTCGTTGCAGCAATCTCGACTACGGACCCAAGCGCCCCCGAATTTGAACAGTCGGGCTTGGCATCTGATTGCGATGAAGCTGGACTGTACTCTGAAGCCTCAGCCTGCGCCGACATGACATGGTTTGAGCTCACCCCCCTGCCTTTTGGTGATCTTTGGCGGGTCGGGCAGAGCCACCTTCGCGGTCGTTTCTCCTGGCGAAGCGTCGTCCCTGAACCCCAAACCCTAAACCCTATAAACCCTAAACCCTAAAACCCTAAACCCTAAACCCTGAACCCTAAGGGCTGGCTGAGCGTTTGGGGTTGCTTTCGCCGCAAACGGAGAGACCCGGCCTGCGAAGATCACAACAACGTGTCCAACACCATAGATGAGCAACATTCCGCAATGCTCGTGCGCACCGACGTAGATGTCGATGAACAGAAAGAAGATGCTCCAGCCTTAGGGCACATGGCATACCATCACATACCATACCCTTAGAGTCGGCACAATGGGGCCCAGCCACACACACCCTGCACGAGAAAGGGCCCCCAATAGGCCCTACGCTGGTTCTGGCCCGTCTCCTTGCCGAGAAGAAGCAACGCTACAAGATAATCAACACCCCTCGTACCAAAAACCCCTAAGATTCAGAAACAGAACGTGTCCTTGGCGTACTCCAACATCGAAGTGGAACCAAGTCCTGTCCTTCCAAAGCCGATGAAGATTTGTCTTTTCTTGGCGTTGCAGACAAAACTGGCTCTCTATGAGGGGTCGGCTCCAGGGGGTCTTCAGAGTTGCGAAGGGGCCCAGGGTCGAATACATGTTAAGAATGCACCAGGGACACCGGGAAGGAGCCCTGTGCATTTTGCAGCAGCCGAAATAATGCATGGTGGGGTGTCCGAAGGGGGCCTTTGGCCTGGATGCGCACTGGACGCTTGACATGATGTTGACTCGACCCTGCCCCGTTGCGAAGTTAGGTCCAGCTAAACGTTTCGCACGGTACGATCGAGATGGGTTCGGATGCGCATCCACTCTCCTGAAGCAGAACAGACCACCGAACCCGGGCGTCTTCTCGTAGAGGGTGAATCCTCGCACTCCAGCAACTCTAGACATCAGGCTGTTGCTGGGAATATTTGAGCTGCATCCGCAGCTAGTCATGATGCTTGCGCTTGACGGGGCCCTGCTTCAAAGCACCCTCGGAACATCCTCGGATGGCAGGGACCGCGATGAAGTTGATGGGCAACAGGTACCTCAGCTTCCATGACTTCGAAAACCGGACGCCGCTGCCCCCTCATGTGGCGCAGACGCGATTGGTGAGTCTCTGAGACAGGCTGCAACCAGCTGAAGCCCAACATCCGAAAGCACAGGACGAAGCCGGAACTTCGCTCCACGCCAGGGACACCCACGTACGAGATGCTCAGGGCGATCAGACCTCTCAGGGATGAAATAAGGTTAAGCCGACCTGCACCTTCGTAGAGGTAGGATGCCAGCTTCCATGACGCATGTGCGTCGAATCTTACGCCGAGGTTCAGAGTCTGTGAAACTTGAAAGATGAAGGTGCTTCGTGTTGAAATTGAGAAACTCACAGCATCACAGCAGAGCATGCCTACGAACATGAACGTCGCGCCAACCATGGAGGCCACTAGCATCCGCATCGGAGTGGGAAGGCACCTTGCACACTCCTAAAGGCCTAAAGGCATCACTCGAGCAATGACGTGCGAGCTCAGCATGATGTCTCAATCTATGTCATTGTCTGCTCTATCCGATGTGCCAACCAACCCAGGCGTGTCTAGTAAAGAACGGTTGGCTGCACCCAATCTCGAAAAGGAAACTTGCCTCGGCCTCCGACCGAGAGGCGTCTGGATATGGTCTCCTTCCCCCTTGCCCATCACTTCCCGCCGTACACCCCCACCAGCGACTCTGAGCTCTCTCATGGTGCCTTTGTCGCTTCAGCCGCTTGGCTTGGCGAGCCTCAGTAGCTGCAGCCTCTGTTCATCATCAGCAGCATCAGTGCCGGAGGATAGTCGGTCGGCTCTTCAGGTCGCGGGACGGGTGGAGCGGCAGCAGCAGCATCCACCAGGACTCCCCTACAACCACTAGGCAGGCCCCGACTGCCGAGGCCGTGCGCGCAAGAGTTTAACAGAAAGATCTGGTCCATCACCACCCATAACCCCAGCAACTGTAACAAACCTGGGCGCAGCTCGATCGGAGCGACAGGATCCACCATGAAAGCTGGAGAAGGACCTGTGAGAATTCCAGAGATGGCGTTGGGAAGCCTTGCATGAGAATAGGGGAGGTGATACGGTTTCGACGACATGGAGGCATGCAATTATGACCTTTAATATGTCTCAGAGTGAAAGGTGTGCTTGTCTGCTGGGGACTGCAACACATCATACCTTCCAAACCTCCCTGCCTGGCGCTGTCGTCTTTGTCTCAACTGACGACACGTACGGCGACCGACGTTCGGCACAGCCGGCATCTCCTGACAAAACTTTTCCGCGCAAAGAGCAGAGCGAGCATGCAAGGCGATCCATTCAACCTCAGCAAGCTTCACAGCGGCAGGACAGTGACCTTGACACCCTCCCCCCCCCAACGCCTGCAGTGTCGCCGTTGCTTGGTGCAACTGACAACCAGGCTTTCTCGGCCCTGGCCATAGCCACCGCCAGGGCTTCTGAAGCCCTACTCGGAGTAGGAGCTCACATCACAGTGGGCAGCGGCAGCCATGGCTCTACAGGAAGCTGCTGGCCCTTGAGACAAAAGGCAGGATTTGGGGTTTAGGATTTAGGGTTTTGGTTTGGGATTTAGGGTTTCGGGTTTAGTGTGCACTCATCTTTGGTGCAGTCGACCCCTGGGTGAAAGCCTTGGGGTGGAAACCAGCAACCTCGGCCACCAGGGAGGAGGCATCTGATTCTCAAACGGTCTACTCCCACAGTGCCACATCCCACACCAATCCAACACTCCGAATCCTATTGACATCCAACTACTACTTGTAGGACTGATTACTGCTATGACGACTCACTATAACTACTATGAGCACTGCTATGACTACCATTACGATTAGAACTACTAGTCCTAGCTCTTCCCCTTCCAAGGTTTCTTACAAACCCTAAACCCTCAACCCTAAACCCTAAACCCTCAACCCTAAACTCTAAACCCTCAACCCTCAACCCTAAACCCTAAACCCTAAACCCATCATCCCAGGGAGCCCGTCAGGCCTTCTGCGCCACCGTGGTGTCCTTGGGCCTCGGGAGCGCCGGGGACTCCAGGGAGGCTTCACATGGCAGATTGTAGGGTTTCGGGCTTAGGGTTTGGGGTTTGGGGTTTGGGGTTTGGGGTTTGGGGTTTAGGGTTTAGGTCAGGGTTTGGGGTTTGGGGTTTCGGGTTTCGGGTTTCGGGTTTCGGGTTTCGGGTTTGGCGTGCTTGGGGCACGTAGGGCACTGAGGGATTCTTGTTTACTGTTGAGCGCTCACGATTGCAGAGGCCAGCAGCTGAGTCCAAAAAAACGGGGTCGAGGTCGGAGCTTTCTTCACATGAGGGTCCACGTTCCGGTTTGAGGAGACTTGATTCTTGCAACGTCTGGCTGCGAGAGCGTGGCCAGACAAGCTCGCTAGAACATCATGGAACTCAACAGTTACGTTACGTTCATACCGCTCAGGCTCCTTCATCAAAGCGGCTTTGTTGGACGAACGCTGGTTTCATCTCGGTTACGTGAGCACACGACGGGTCAAGACAGGCAGATATGCACGGCATAAACCACCATAAACCTTAAACCCAACACAATGGAAGAGTGCAACAGCACTAGTGGAACCAATTGGAACGATCATGGCCATGCCACTCTGATGCCCCAAGGCTTCTTTGGAGTTGACCGAGGGCCCCACACGATGCCGAAGCTGCAAAGGCCGCGTTGGGAGGTGTCAGGCCCGGCAGACAACGCCTGTCATGGAAGGTGGCTTGGTCCTTAAATTCCCTTTTAAGGGCTCAGCGCTCAGGGGCTAAAGTCTCAGACTGCTGTGGAGATGAGATCCATGCAAGCATGGAGCTCACGTGGGGGCCGGCTTACCGCACTTTGGACGCACACAGGACGCACGCCACAGAGGCAAGCATGACGAAGACACGACCAGGATGATAACGAGGCATGGCATTACATGCATCTTGCTCTTTGCGATACTTCCAGCTTGCATTTGTCGGAATGGTCTGACGCCTTTTCCCATCTATTTCAGCAACTTCGGAAACAGTCATCGGGTCACTCGCAGCAACGCACGGCCTCGGTGAGAGCACTCTGCAGCTTGGCGAGCAGGGCTTCCTTGTGGCCCCAAAGAGGCATGACGAGCAAGGGGCGGGTTTCCGTAACATTTTTGATGAATTCTTGAAACCTGGTGGTTCAAAAAGAAGACCCTAAAGGGCACCACAAGCTGCTCCCACTCCCAGCCTCGTGGTGCAGGAACACGGTCTTCTTGTCCGGCGTTACGTTGACATCCACCAGGCCTCCAAAATCCGGCGGGGCTTTTGGCCATAGTTCGGGTGTCGAAGCCCCCCGGACCTTGAGGAGCAGTGAAGGCCAAGATCACCAAAGGCCAAGCTCTTGAGTTGTACTGGTGGTAGGTGTCCTGGCGGCTCATGAGTCATGGTTTGGGGCTCAGGGCACTTCAGGGCATTTCAGGGCAATTCAGGGCAATTCAGGGCATTTCAGGTTCGGAGGCCAATCCCTTAACCCAAGTCGGCGTGGCGTTAATCAGCTTGGCGATGCGCTTTGGGGGATCGACCGGTCGGCGGTTCACGAAGAAGAGCTGCGCGTCGCGGCTTCGGCGCCCGCCGAAGGGGGGGGAGATCAGGCCTGCACACGAACCCGGCCGCCATGAGAAGTCTGAGAGAAAGATCACGGTTGTCCCTTGGCACGCATGGGCACCTCTACACGACATCCTTGTCTCAGCGTCTTTGAGGTCTATGCGGGCCGGTGAGCTACTCTTGACACTCAAGCCGCCGCCTCCTTTGAATAAGACTCTTGAATACGAGCAGCCCCACACTGGAAGCATGATGCAGCGGGAACCCCTTCGGCACCTTCCACCTCCCAACCTTCCATTGTGGCCTCGGCAGTCAGGTGTCTTCAGCATGCAAGACGACAGGATGCCACATTTTACTTCGCGAATCTTTACTAAAACGATCTAAAACGCCACAGCTACGGTAGTGTGAATCTTACCGGCAAAGGGCTGCCAGTGGCAGCGCCCCGGAGAGCGCAGCGTCGCCCAGCACGGCTGCTGCGGCCTCCGAGGCAGCCAACAGGACTGTCTAAGCTTCACTCCCTTATGTTTCGGAATGCCTCGCATGTGTCGTACAAAGGTCCTGGTCTCCAGCTCACCTCTTTCTCAGTTTCCCTTTGTAGCAGGATTCAGTGACAGGGGGGGGAGGGAGGCAACCTTGCATCCCATGCCCTGACGTGCGAAAGCGACCGAAAGCCATCCGAGGCTGCCCCGAAGTCAGAGCTCGCCAATCTTCTCTGAAAAAGACAGCACTGGCAAGCAGGCTCGCGAAAATGCATGATCACAACAGGCAAATCCTGAATAGATCTGATGGAGCAAGGTCGGCCTGAGTCCAGTTGCGTGCCGTGCCTGCACCAGACTGCACCCAAGTTCGGAGTAGAAGTGGGGAGTATACAATATGAAGCTAGCAACATTGCCTGAGTCCAAATTGAGGCAACGAAGCCACCAATCGAACACAAGAACGTGCAAGTACAAACATCTGCTTATCAAGGGTCTGCAGTGTGGGCCTGACGTGGCCATCAACGTGGTTCGGCCGCCACCGGGCCCGCGCAATTTCTCCGAGACGACGCTGAAGCGAACCTCGACACCATGTCGATGCCACACCGCAGTCCGTTGGACAAAGAGGCGGCTCGCTGTGGGCTCTCCGGGCATTTTAGCGCCCGCCTCTGGCTGGGCGACTGCGTAGGCTTGAATGAGGCGCAGGGTGGCGCTGACCTCCCAGGGTTGCAACGGCGCCCACTTGCTGCAAGAGGCGCTGCATGGGAGCACACGAAGTCGGAGCGCGCCTGGGCCTTGGCATTCTTCTGAAACTCTCGGTGCCGCACCGGAAGCCGCTTGAAGAGTTCCCGCACCTGTGCGGCCGAGATATGCCGAGCAGATGCCTCCTTTCGTTTCCGGCCCCACCGCGGGTCTCCTGTACGATCTGAAGATCTGACTCTGATCTGACACTGCTGAAGGACTTGCTGAAGGTAAGCTCATGCAAGGCTCGGCAAAGGCGTTTGGGGCCGGCACTGACACAGTGGTGCCCGTCTCCCGCGCAAGGGCACTGCGCGAGACCAGGCGGCCAAAGCGGTCCTTCAGCACGACAAAACCAGCAACATATTCGTGCATCAGCGATACATCACTGATACATGACCCACTTAAGGGCCGTTGCAGGCTGAAGTTAAACGCGAATGACACCGACGCGACACCAACAGTGCTCGACAACTGACCACATGCCCCGCACAGAGCTTGAACTGCTATGCAGGACTCTTCGAAACCTTCCAAGCTTCGCCAAGCGGCATAGGACAACAGACACGCCTGAGCTGCAAACAAGTCTTCAGCATAAACGCGGTCGACTAGGTATGGACCCAACCTGCTGGAAACCTCTTCCTTCTCCGATGTCTTTAAGCTTTCGCCCCTTTTTCGGGGCGGTTCTTCCAAGCACTCCTACTGCTGTCCGTAAGTGAACCCTTCTCCCACGTAAACGCACCACAAGCTCAGCCAAGCTACCGCAGATTCGTGCACAGTTTTCGTGGCGATCGTCATGTCTCCCATGGCACAGATGGCAGACAGCGCTTCTCCTCGAAAGCCGAACGTCGAGAACGTCTCAGAACCTGAGCCAACATACTTCAGCAGGACTCCGACTGAAGCATGACCATGGCCTTTCTGCTCGACCCTGCAGACGCTGTGGAAGCCTTGCGTAAGGTTGTTATGTCCTCAGCCATGCGGCTGAGGTCTTGGTACTTGCGGATCTTGGAAGTCGCGTGTCTGGCTGCAACCTGGAGACTTTGAGCTGTGCTTGAAACATATTAATATGAAGGGCATTCTTCCCACCCGATACCCACAGGAAGGATTCAGAGGCGCTCAGAAGATCCCCCCCTAACGGGAGACTGGGCCTTCTCGTAGTCTTCAGAACTGATGCCTCGGCCGTCATCCACGACCTGCGCTCGAATTCTCAGGGTGCTCTTGGGGGCTTTGGCTGCTCTAGGGTTTAGGGTTTAGGGTTTAGGGTTTAGGGTTTAGGGTTTAGGGTTTAGGGTTTAGGGTTTAGGGTTTAGGGTTTAGGGTTTAGGGTTTAGGGTTTAGGGTTTGGGGTTTAGGGAAATTTTGGGGTTCAGGGTTGCTGGATGCGAAATACTGGATGCCCTTATAATGCACCGGACTGCCAGTGGTTCTTTAACCTCGGACAACATCGTGGAGAGCCGGAGACAACGCCGTTGCACAGCACACAGACAGAACAATGAAAATGTGCCCATGTCTTCACCTTCTCCCACTGACAGCATCCGAATCTTGAATGTGGCCATGCAGATGCAATAACTCAGGCACAAGACACAATGTGGTCTACAGCATGTAGTGCCACACGGCAGTACAAATTACGTAAGATTGTAATCCTACCACCCCGTTCTCCATTTCCACAAGAACTGTCGAATGTCCGGGCCTCGAGCAGCTCAGCCCCCGATTCGCGAAGGCGGATCTCGAGGCATTTTCGGGGGCACATTGAGAAGGTCCACAGTTGCAGTCATCTGTGCCACTTGGGATACGTCACCGCCTCCACCCTCGACGCGCCAGCATCCAAGGAGTTTTCGACAAGCTCTTTCACGCATGCCTCACGGATGTTTGCATGCGACGCACAAACGTGAAAAGGAAACACCTGCACATAGTCAGCCATCCAACGAATACAAGATTATGGCAGTCGTAGCCTGCAGAGTCACCACGACTTGATTGGTGCAAATCTCGTGCACCACATCAGTGTCGAGCCTTCCACAACTCAATCCAGGTTGCTTCTAACGTGGAATGTACACACATCGCGCCTGTTCATGCTGGTAAGCACCCACCCCTCATCCTCTCCATTTGCATCTTGCTTTCTAGTTTTTGAACCTGCATACTCACAAAAATTTAACTGCATAACAAACAGGCAACGATCAACAAACAAGAGGTCTTGCTGTCATGCCACCTGTAAGCCAAGCTCGCGCATAGTCTTGCTGATTTCATCCAATAACTTTATGCGCCGCTGCAGCACAAAGAATGGGTGGACTCTGCATCCAGACATCAGATTGCAACCTATCGCAAAGCAGGCATGTCAGGAAACAAAACGGGCAGGTACAATGTAACAACTCTGGCGTGGGGTGCAAGATGTGGATCTTGACAAGGCAGAACTATCGTACATAGCCTGGTAGTGTGCACAATGCATAAACATAATGAACCCAAGTAACTAGGCCTATACTCAATCTCAATGCTAGAGGATCCGAACAACACGGGGAAACATGCACCGAGCGTTCTTTTGTCTGCCTAGGATTTGGACGGACAAACACAGCAGTGCCAACGCAACGCCCTCCTTTTTCAAACGGGTGGCATCAGGCGAGAGGGTTTCTGGCTGCCAAGGTAGCACATTTTCCAGCCGTCCGGGCTCGGGAAACTCCATACGGGTTTGGAACATAACCCAAAGTTGGTGGGACACCGTCGGCAGGGAATGGCGGGAGCAAGGCCACATCTCTCCCAAGCGAGGCGGGTGCCCGAGCTACCCACGACTGACATCCTTCGCCCTACGACCTACCGCTGCGTGAAGCAAGCAAATCTGAGGTGAACCCGAGGCACGAAGAATTTGCACCCTGGTTCAACTTCGGGTTCTCGAAATAGGCGTCCGCCCCCCAAAATGTTCGAACCCAAGGTTCAGAGCCACGTCTCCGATGCCGGGCACCGCTTCTGGCCACAGCCCCAGTATGATCGATGGCCTGCATTAACTACATCTCCAGGCAGCATGAAAAAGGCAAGGCCTTCGACCTGAACTCCATGAGATGGAGTCGAGGAGCTTTTGCTCGGCAGTCTGCTTGAAAGTATTTTCACGAATCGGGGTCCTTACTTGTCTTGAAGACCTCAACCGGAGCCATCTGTTGTGAAATGGCTCGGCATGCAGGCTCTTTGCATGCGATCAAGAGGAGGCAAAACGCGTATTCGCTATTCCACTTCGAAGACGGGCCAGTGGCTGTTCAGTGCAAGAAAATTTCTAAACTTGTGGAGCTTCTACCTAGGACTTGTGGAGCTTCTACCTAGGACTTGTCTCGAGGGGCCACTGGCTCAATTATGATGGAAGATAAATATGAAAATACTACTTTAACAATTAAACCATTGCAATTTCAAATCTCATATTCAATGCTATCAATGCCGGCAATCAAGTATGACGAGGGACAAAGCCGAGGACAACGAAAGCTAGCCTTGCTTCACTGCACTATGGGTCTCCACCCTCCTCCCCCATGTCCCCGCCATCCCATCTTGTTCCGTCTGTCCTCACGCCAAAACGCCAGTGCAGGTCGAATCAGGGAACGGGATCAGAGACCAAGACAGGCGAATCGGAGACCAGGACTCGACCGAGCCGACCGGAATCTGACCAACCATTTAGTTGTCGTATGCGACGGATGTCGCCCAGTCCTGTAGAACAGACCAAGACATACCAAACCTCGATCTCAGCACAACCCCTCCCCGGAACCACCCAGAGCATCAAGAAGGCACAAAGTCACTCCCGTTCATCCACCTACTGGCTTAGATATGTGTCAAGCAAACTAACAACACAAAACAAACACCTCTCCTCTCTCGCTCAGGGCGGCTTTTTTTGAGATGGTCGCCTCTAGCAGCCCAGTAGGCCAATCTTGTGTGGACAATCCACTCAGGGTGAGACAGACATCTACTTAGAGAGTCCAACTGTACAAGCGTAAAATAAGTCGTGACTACAAAGAAGCAACCGCTAGCGCAGAGGCCCTTCTTGCAAGACAACTTAACGCAAGGCCAGTGAGGTGAGACCAATAAAAACAAGAACCTACCGGCACCAATCACTCAGCTGCCCGTCACCCATAGCAATGCTGTGCCACGTCTGGTACAGACATTAAGCGAAGGTATGGGTAGGCCGTAAGGCAAGGAACCTCCGTCACCTAAACTGCCCAACGCGTCCGTAGGGACAGTCCCCACACAAGCGCCAGGGCCATAGCAATAGCACTCAGTACACCTTCTTGCAGTTAAGTTGACAAGTAAGTGTGAATGCACACTGAACGGCCAGAGAGCGGAAACCAAAAGACTTGTTTTGCCACACAATAGCAGTACAGCCCACACAGCACGCGGATGCGTGCTGAGACCTCGCTGCGTTAAAGCGCAAGGCACTTCCTTGGCGTTCTCGCTCTTACTGACCAAGGAAAGCGCGCAATAAGCAACCTCAGCGCAGTCGCTGTGTTCCTGGCTGCAAAGTTAAGCAGAGGCACCGGCATGCTTGACCTGCCTACAGGGTCCGTGTCATGCAAGTGACGCAGTTTAAGATCCAAGCAACTTAACTGCCCCGCGCAGCGGCCGGTTTTCACTATCGCACACAGACCACAGAGGAGAAGGCTGGCACTGTTGGGCCTGCAGCCTCACAGGAGGCACTTGCGCAGCGAAACGTGTCCCGCGGAGCTGAAAAGGGGTTTTCTTGGCAGCTTACAGCTGGCGGCTGCAGGACTGCAAGCAGGCCTCTGGGCCTGCAGCTTGGATGCTGCAGAGCCTGCAAGTAGGCTCCCTTGCTGCTGGACTTGCGCTCAGCGTGCCTCGTCTCTAAGTTCTCAAGCGAAATGCAGGTAGGTTGTTGCTGAGCGGCACACTCCCTGACTACCCCGCGAAGCGGGCGATGTTTTCCGAAAGTACACAGGCCACAAAGCAAACCCGCTGTCCCTGAGACTTAGCCCAGACCCGCCCAAGAAGAGAACTGCTAGGCAGTCTGCAGCGTAAAGGCTGTAGGGGCCTGCGAAGAAGCGACCTTCGGCATGCCGCAGCTGCTGCAGGGACTGCACATAGGCTTCCTTGCAGCCACATGCTTGACCTGCAGGGTCATGCAAGTGACGCATCCAAGTAACTTAACTGCCCTGCGCAGCGACCGGGTTTCGCAATCACACACAGACCGCAGAGGACGAAGGCTGGCACGTTGGGCTGCAGCGCCAGGCAAATGCGCAGCGAAACGTGTCCTACGGAGCTGCAGGAAGAGAAAGCGTGGAATCTGAAGGGCCCTTGACCTGGGAACAGCACAGCAAAAAATCGCGACCCTGACGCCTTGGGCTCCCCGGACCCGGAAGCACCGGGAGAGAAATTGCAAAGCTGAAGCCGATGGCCACTCGGAACCTGGAGCAGGAAGAGAAATCGCAACCTGAAATCCATGTTTTGGGACCTGCCAGCAGAGAGAATCGTGAACCTGAAGCCTCTGGGTTCCCCTGGACCCGGAAGCAGTCCCTGTTGCAAGGAAGCCGACGTGCAGTTCCAACAGTATCCCACTGCAGGCGGAGGTCACGGACGTGATGCTGCAGCAGGCCGAGCCGCCGAGGCCGCAGTGCCCCTTCTAAACGCGTTCGCCCATCGACACGGGCTACACCGAGAAGGTGCCCCGACGGGTGCCCCGATTGCGTGCCCCAATTTCGGCACCCAATCGGGGCACCCGTCGACACCGGCTGGCTAGAGGACCCGCGTTCGCCCGACCGGCCGTCGCGGGGGGGCGGGTAGTAAATCATGTCTTGGGCACAGCAGCGCCAGAGAATCCGGCAGGCCGT